TATATATATATATATATATGAGTCTCATAAATGCAATGAGTCACTGCAATGACAAAAGTAAAGACAAATAAATGAAGAATTTATGAGGACCCCCCCTAGCCGCATTGTTTCAAACAGTTTAAAAATGCCTTTTTTTTAAATAAAAAAAATTCCTATGATTGTAAATATTTCTATTGACAACTAAAACGTGACTTCCCCATGTTAAACAGGCAGTTTAATTAATATCTTAATAACAAGAATCCCGCTCACAAAATATAACAAAACGAAATAAAAATATTTTTGTCCATATTCCTGAAACATTAAACTGTGTAACAAGTTATAATATCTGATTGTTTCACACATTACTTTCGAATGCCCGTTTACGAAATCAGTGTGTTCCCTAATGAAATTTAAAGTTTGAGGAATTTCGTGAAAACAAAACATAGAACCTTGCACGTTAGGATTGTCTAATTAATACTGATATTAGTATGAAAGATGTTTTTAAACTCTGTGCTAATCACTATGATGTTAGAGAAGAACGCGGTTAAAATAAAACTGGTTTATTAGAAGATGTGGTTAAAGACAATTAATAGCAAAGACGGATATATTCCAATCATAATAAGCAAAACGATTGATTTTCAGTTATTCAAATCCCTTCCATGCTAACCTCGACCTCCCAAACGATAAATCATAGTTAGAAAATATTTTTGTTCTTTTCTTACTTGAATGAGAATTTGTTACCACTAATGGATCTATACTTTTTGTCTCTTTTCTTCAAGGGGTACTAAAAAAGTATATTAAAGACAGTTATTATAGAATCCCCTATGTTTAAAAGAAGAAATTGTCTTTATGGTTAGCACACTCTCTATAAATTTAGGCTATCTCTGAAGTAATATTCTATTTACCTCGTTGGAGATGGTCAGTTGATAGTAATCTTAAACAAACGATTATAAATCTTAAATAAGATTGTCTTTTTAATAACTTAAATAACAAAATAACAAAGCCAAATTTTTTCAGGCCTGAATGCTGCTCTGGGACCCATGTACTTATCAGAAATATCTCCAGTCAACTTTAGAGGAGCTATAGGTTCCATTTACCAGCTTACTATCACAGTAACGATTCTAATATCGCAAGTTATGGGTCTTCCTGAGTTATTTGGTAATGATTCTGGCTGGCCATACGTGTTTGGTAAGATAATCTCTGTGAAATATCCATTTACCAGCTTACTCACACAATAACGATCCCTAAAATCTCAAATTATGGGTCTTCCTGAGTTATTTGGTAATGATTCCGGCTGGCCATACGTGTTTGGTAAGATAATCTCTCTAAAATATCCATTTATCAGCTTACTCTCATAATAACGATCCCTAACATCTCAAATTATGGGTATTCCTGAGCTATTTGGTAATGATTCCGGCTGGCCATACGTGTTTGGTAAGATAATCTCTCTAAAATATCCATTTACCAGCTTACTCTCACAATAACGATCCCTAACATCTCAAATTATGGTTATTCCTGAGCTATTTGGTAATGATTCCGGCTGGCCATACGTGTTTGGTAAGACAATTTCTGTGAAACATCCTTTTACCAGCTTACTATCACAATAACGATCTTTACCATCGAAAGCCATGGATCTTCCTGAGTTATTTGAAAATGATACCGGCTGGCCATATATGTTTGAGAAGAAAATCACTCTGAAATATCTATTTGCCAGTTACTATCATTATAACGATCGTAATATCTCAAATTATGGGTAATCCAGAGCTATTTGGTAATTATTCCGGCTGACCGTATGTGTTTGGTAAGGCAATCTCTCTGAAACATTCTTTTACCAGCTTACTACCACTTTTTTGTACCACGATTCTTAGTATCGCAGATTATGGGTTCTTCCTGAGTTATTTTGAAATAATAATAATAGCTGGTCATTCGTGCTTGGTAAGACAACTGCTGTGAAACATCGTTTATATTATTGCAGTATTTAGTAAAACTTCGTTCAGTAAAATCGTTTACAGTTCGTAATATTTTGATAAAAGTTGTATCTTTGTAATACTGTTTCAATTCGCAATGCATTTGATATTTCTCTTGTAGCTTCAATTTCAGAACGTAATGAAAGTGTCTGGTTAGATGTATTGTTGCAATGCAATTAACAGTTTGTTACGTGCCTTGTAAGACCTAAACCTGCGCTAGATAACTTCTAAAATGAGGTTATTCTTTCTTAATTTGCTTGCAGTAATTATTTGAAATGCATAATACGATATGCTAAATTGCGAGATTCAGATCCTTTGTCCCATCCACAAACGTAGAACAACTTAAACGAATTTTACATTTACTGTGATTGAAAATATACAAGCACCTCTGTGGGAATGCCATTGAAAAATAAGGAGGAACAATTGATTTTTATAAAAATTAAAAATACAATGACTGTATGAATTATGCATGTTAATTAAAAAGTATTCGGGAATAAAGGAATATCTCGAAAAATGTAATTAGGAAAAATAATCATAAAATTTTTCGAATGAAAAATAAATTCCTTGACACTAAAAGTGCATTATTTTGTTGGAGATAAAACTGATGAATTTTTGAAATTTCAAAATAGGAAGTGGTTCTAACTAGGATGTTTTATTTCAATACAATTTTTTTTAAAAGTTAGTAAAATGCGGATAATTCCTATTAAACAAGTCAAAAATTTACTAAATTACAGAAAAAGTCTTGTTTTTGAATTTTCAGTATATTTAAAGAAAAAAATAATACAAAATTTATATTATTTTAATTTAAAGATGTTGTTAAGCGAATTGTTTATTTATTAATTCTCTCTTTCAGCACTAGCATTTATCCCTGCTGTAATGATGATGATCGCGCTTTATTTCTGCCCAGAATCACCTAAATATCTTTTGAATATTGGTGAAGCTGAGCAAGCCAAACAAGGTTAGATGATGTTTTTCATTACTAATTTTGCACGACAATGTTCTTCCTTATCTAATTTGTAAGCTTTGTTCTTCCTGTAATACTTTTGTATGATAATGTTTTTTACTGTTAATATTATGTGATAATGTTATTTTTATTAATGTAGCCTTTATCGAATTAATCTAATATGATATTAACTATGTCATTAGATTAATTTAAAAATATGCATTACTCACCATTCTCATTAATAGAAAATAATAAATAATAGCAGTGAAATTAGCGGGGGCAGAAACAATGATATTCTGGTTCGGCAGTCCACAAAATTTATTCTTGGAAAACAAATTAGCATGGAGCATCACAACACCAAAGCATCGTTTCTCAACCATTCTGTTTCCAGAATATTGTTTTTTAACGGCCATGGTAAGAATGTCATGCATTTTTTACCCCAGAAAAAGGGGTACCAGTGCCTGAGCTCCTATCCCTCTCTCTAAACTTCTACACTACGACTAACGAGATGACTTTCAACCACGACAGGTTAACAAGCATTGAGCAACTTTCTGAGTATTCTCGTCAATTGTTTTGTCGACTGCCAGGATCGAACTCATGACCCCAGTTCTCCACCGATGGGGTGAGTGACTCCTTAACCAATTGCGCTAGTCCTATTTTCGAAATTTAATATTTCAAAAACTATTCGACAAATTTTGCTTGAATTTTGTATTTTGAACTTACATTCTTTAAAGGGTACTGAAGGTAGAGTCCGGATATTTTTCATTTTTCGCCTGAAAAAGTTGTTACAACAGTGGATTGACACAAATCGATGTAGACGATCCACGAATCTGTTTTATCTGCTTGAAAGGCAATCAGGGCAATTTTCCTATTTAATTTAGTGAATATCTTTTATAACTTCAACGTGAAAAACTATCCCCATTTATGACTTTCAAATATTTCTACAGGCGTGATGATGTCATAATTCACTCCGATTTCAACATTTCGGCCACCATCTAATTCTCTTAAATTACTTTTCACATTGTGTCTAACACTTAACTGTAATGGTAAACCTTAACACGCTCAAATACCTGGATCAACCCACATTCCATCATTGCTCGAAATACGTGAAATTGTATTCAATGTAATTTTCCTTCCCCTTAAGTTCAGAAACTAGAAATACTTTTTTCATATTTTAGCTCTCTTTGATTCTCTTAGACTTGAATTTATGCAGTCTAATATTCGGATAAAGTAGCCACTTTCACATATAAAAAGAAATAGATTTGTACTATAAATCATGCGGAGAAAGGAATACGTGACCCCTATAAGGATTCTCGAGTCACGTTGCAATGCCTGAACTTTTCAGTAAAAAAATGAAGAAGAAAAACGATGCAAAATTGGGAAGGTTATTTTTAAGTAAAGGAAGCTACTTTCGATTGAATGAATTTGGTTTTACTATCCTTCATCTCCACACATGCAAAGGTACATCTCAACGTGGGAGAAGATTATGACTAGAAGTACGAGCCTGGGGACGTTTTTTATTAATAATACGTTGCCATTTTTTGTTAGGGTTCAAGCAACAACCGTTCCAAGTCAACTGGCGTGCTTCAATCCAGGTATTTGAGCTTGTTACGGTTAAGCGTTATAGACAGCGTGGTTTTTCCAAGCTCTTTCGCCAATCAAAATTTTTAAAAAAAGTCACAGTTTCAGTGCCTTACACTTGAAACAAAGCTATAATTTTAAACTGTATGTGCCATCTTGCTGATAGAATTATTTGGGCTTTAGAACAGAGAAATGACTAAAATATTTTAAAAGTTATTAAATTTAAAAAAAACACTAGTTTGATAACATTTTTCAACCTATTTATAAATTGACGTTTTGTGCCATTTTCAAAATAAACATACAGAGCCCTGGCTAAAGATTGGCTAAGCTTGACCAAACAGTCATGAGTAAAATCGTTGCTAACTTAGAGCAGTTATGAAATTAGCATAAATATTCGTAAAAAAGCATCATTTTATGCGACGACAGAGCCTTCGAAAAACAGCCTTAAGTGCTAAGCGCTGAAAAGTAATTTAACTGACAGGTTGAAAACGTAGGATATTGTGATTGACTCATAACAATAGGTTTTTTTTTCAGCAATTCAATGGATTCTAGAATCTGAAAATGTTGAGGAAGAAATGACATTTTTGAAAAACGAAATTGACGATGCTCGGAGTTTGCCAAAGGTTGAATGAAATATCTTATAGTAATTTAAATGATATTTCATTTTAGTTAACCAATGATTTATTAATGTGTATTTTGTAAAAGGTTACCCTTAAAGACATGGCTAATAAGGAGGTGTTGAAAAAGCCCCTTATTGTTTCTGTAGTGATTATGATGGCGCAACAGTTTTCTGGCATCAATGCAGTGAGTAGAACTAGTTTCCTTGTTCCTAGCACTTATTAAACGTAATTATAATGAAAATGGGTTAGGGGTTTTATTTTGATTAGTTTGATTTAACTCTAAAGATACTCTAAAGATACACTAATGAACTACTAGCGATGTATGTCTTAATAAACTCAGTCCGACAGTAAATACATCATAAAGACACTGTTCCCAATAGAGAACCAAAGTCGAACGTCAATAGATTCGATCAGTAAGCGGGTGGGTAACCGCTTTGATCAACCTGCGTAGGTACCAAGGGTACGTGGTATCGGCCCCGTTAAAGTGTTCTACCGTAAAGTGCCCGACTTCGCGCGCAAGTCATTGAGCTACTAAAACGGGAGAGTCACCCTCTCTGGTGAGATCCCCATTTCAGATCATCCTCAGGGATGTTTCTGAGATCGTTGCCAGTAGCCCACTGTGCAATTCAAATGAGACGTAAGGGAAGTACATATCTACCTATCTTAATTAGCTCAAAAAATTTTTAAAACTTTTCTTTTCATAGTGTTAATGATATGCATAACATTTAACGAATTCATAAAATGTTTGCCATCAATTTAGCCAAGTTTATATTCGGCATTGCATGTTATTACTAAGAAATATGATTTAATACTTTATAAGCTTTATTAACTAAAGTAGAAATACATTTACGAAGCATTTAAAATAACGTTACTAATCAATAGAATTTTGAATATTAAAGGTTAAACTTCAAGATCCTAAACAAGACGCCTGTTACGCATGGCAGTTTTAATACTTTGCATCCTGCCTAAATTTTTATACCTCAAATTTTTGCTGAATGATAGCATTAACAATTAATATTTAGTAATTAGTTTTATTCTTATCTTTTCTACAGTTATATTGGAACTGATGAACACAGAGTCAAAATATAGATTTTTTTGTGATTTAAAAGTGGCAGATGCAGCCTGATTAATCCAATTTGTTGAAAAGCTTGAATTATAATTGCAACAATCGATAGTTTTTCAAAATTATCGATTAATATTTCTGTGTTAATGAACATTCTGTGTTAATACTTATTTATCCAACAGGCCATGTATTATTCGACACAGATATTCAAGGCGGCGGGAGTGTCGGAGAGAAGTGCAGTCTATTGTACGATGGGAATGGGGGTAGTCAATGTTTTGACCACGATTGTGTCTGTAATACTGGTAGAAAGAGTTGGACGGAAAATCCTCTTTCTGGTCGGAATGGCTGGCATGGCTATCCTGTGCATCATCCTCACAATTTCAATGTCTTTAAAGGTAAGGGGAAATCAAGATACCCGAGTTCAACAACGTTTTATTACAGAAACCAACAATGCAACACTGTTATGTCTCTCTTTGTTTTTACTTTTCTTGCATGAAAGTCGTCCAAGGGAAAAGTAAACATGTACGATAGGTTCAGAAATACAGAAGCAATAGTAACGCTAAAGATGGTAAACGAAGTACACCAAAGACTATGTATCAACCATTTCATGTGAGAGTATTTTAAGTGAATGTAAAGTCGAGAGAAGAAGTCTGCCCTGGACAGAACAACGCAAAGTAGTACGATTTTTAATTGCAAAAAGGGATTGTGCCATTCCTTTACTCTTGTCAAACAAAGTGTTGCTTAATTGTCACATATCATAATTCTTTTATTACCTCTTATAATATTAGCATATATATTCTGCAAGTATGAGGTCTCGAAAATGTAATACTCGATTTTCAAAAATTAAACTATCTTCCTTTGAGCAGTTCAGTAATGCAAGTCTTTTTTTTTTCCAACTTTATAGTTTGGGAAATATTTTTCTTAAATTTTTCTTCAAGTTGTAAAGATCTTAGATGCTGTTGTTATTTCTAATGCCACTTGCCAACACCAGCAACTTTGCTTGGTGAAGCAAGCCAATTTATGGTAGAACGAGCGTTTTTATTTTTCAGTGGCGCCACTTATGGCCAAGAATACAGCTTCAGTCGCACGCAAGTCACACATCGTTTATAGGGAGGACCCATTCATACAGTCATTCATTCCTCCATAGATCATAATTTTGATCTGAACCAGAGATCGATCAATCTCCAATTTAGTATCCCCAGAGGTATGATTTGTTATGGGAAGATGGATGATTTTGTGACCAGAAGGATTTAACTTGCACTAGTCACTACACGGAGAGTCTTCGGCTGGTTGGAATCGAACTCATGACCACTTGGAGCTAGATCCAATGCTAGATTCGAGATCCAATGCCAACCAGTCTATCCCAGCCCCTCTTAGATGCTAAATGCTATAAGTACCTTCCACAGTAATAATTTTAAGCATTTTTCTGTTCTACCATTTCACTATCTGCAGAAGTTACATTTAAACTGCATATTTCCAAATTTTTGAATTAACACTCCCTTCTTTTTACGGTTTTTAATTCATTTTTCCACTAACGAATGTCTTGAAGCACTTGGATCTCAACTATCAGTAAACCACATTTTTTCAAATAGACTGACACGATTTTTAAAGAACCTGTGGAAAATTTAATCAGAATAACTTCAAAAAGTATTGTTCTATTTAAAGATTTATGCTACCAAAGTTTATCAAATGCAGTTTATATGATACATGATTAATCAGACAAAAAAGATTATGATATGAGAAAGCTCTATCAAATACTATAACACACTCGCGAAAAATCGCAGCAAAATCAATTTGGAATTTTCTCAAATATTTATAACCAAAATACGTGACATACTGAAAAAGCTGTGCACTAATGCCTATCCGAGTTTGGAGTAGAAAAATGTCAAAATTATGTGAATGAATTCTTTATTTCAAGTTAACATCGAGTCGAGAGTTCGGACTCACTTTAAAAGGGTTCGTTAAATCTTAACACTAATAATTTGAGAAAGCTTATACCAAACTAAGATGCATTTATTCCGTTCATGAATTATTTTCGCCACTTTTGGTGCACGTTTGGAAACCGTATGATGATAATTATGATAATTATTTTCTCATAAAAAGATTGACATAAATTTGTCAATCGTATTAAATAGTTTTGTAATATATTGGTTCTATCCGCTTCGGCTTTGTTAATTCTAATTCGAGTTCATATTAATATTGTCTCTGTTCTGTGTGTAACAAACCGAATTTATATTAAGAAATACTGTATACGTGCACGTCGATGATTCTCACTTTATATAGTATCGGAAAAATAAACTGACTCTTATGTGTATCATATCTTACTGTTATTATAAAATTTTAGTGTTTCTGAATGAAAAAAATGGTGACGACTACCTTATACTAGGTAGTGTAACTGAACATTCTTGGTGAAAAGAAGCACCAAGATCCAAAACTTACGTATGGTGTTTCACTAAATAACTTTGGTATAAAGTAGTTGTCACCATTTGTATTGAGGTAACTAAGATTTTTACAGTGAGTTTGCCTCTGTTTTCTTTAGAACTTCGGGCATTTCGCATCATACATAAGTGTTATAACCATCTTCTGTTTTGTGATCATGTTTGCGATAGGACCGGGTAAGTGATTTGTTTTATTTTGATTTTATCATAAGATTTTGATTTTATCAACGCTAAATTTGATTAAAGGATAATTATGGTGTTTCGTTTTTTTAAATTTTGTTTTCTTATAAACTTATTGTAGAGTTGTTATAAAAAAGCTAATTTGAATAAAAAAAATTTCAAACAGGTTCCATTCCCTGGTTTATAGTGTCAGAACTGTTCACTCAAAATGCGCGATCTTTAGCGACAAGTATTGCAGTTGGTACCAACTGGGGTTGTAATTTTATTGTCAGCATTGGATTCATGCCGCTTTTTGTAAGTTATTTGTTTTTTCATTCATCTCTATATGTTACTGTAAAGGCCCGAAGTCAAGTAAATTCAAGTTTTCACAGGTATAGCCTAGGACAGGGGTGGCGAACCTTTATACACCAACGTGCCATTCTCTCTAAAAAAATTGCTTAATGAGGTCATAGACGTGCCGTCAAATTATTTTGACTTCGTGATTATTGGGAAAATAATAATACTAAATACTATCAACTCAAAACTCTTTATTTTTATTGAAAAAAAATACATTTTGCAATGTCTCAGTTATACACGTAATTCAACTTAAAGTAACATCAGTGTGACTTCTGTTGTTGCAGATTAGATGACAAATAACTTATATTAGGTTGTAAGATGTCAGTTTAAGGAGGACTGATGAATTTTTTTTCTAGTTATTTATTGTTAGCTTGTTTTTTACGGTTATTAATTGTTTTTTTAGTATTAATTTTTAATTTTTTTTATCAATAATTGTTTATTATTTTGTTTGCTTTTCGTGAATTTTAATTTAATTGTTACTGAATTTATTTAATTGTTACATATGCTTCATAAACATTTGTGTAATAACAATTCATAGAGTAACAACAATTGTGATCGCGTGAAGTGCCCAAAATATTGTGTCGCGTGCCGCCATTGGTTCGCCATCCCTGGCCTAGGATTTACCAAAGTAGCTTGATAAAGCTAAGACTTCGGACTTTAACCAAGTAACTTTGGTAGAAGATGGGTTTTACCTGTGAAACCTAGGATTTACCAGACTTCGGGTTTTTACTGAGCAATTTAGCTTTTAACAACTGTTAGACTTTTAATAGGACTGTACGAACAATTTCGTTTATAATTATCAGACTCACACTCATAATAGGACTGTACGAAAAATTTCGTTAGTAATTATCAGACTCACACTCATAATAGGACTGTACGAACAATTTCGTTTATAATTACCAGACTCACACTCATAATAGGACCGCAACGATCAAAATTTCTGTTCAAGGATTTCAGTGCTCTTGTGTGTGGCTCCTTAATGCGCCAGCTTTTAGTAAAACTGATTTTTGCCATCAGAAATTTTAATCTGGGACACGAATCAATTGCTTCCAAGCGATACTGGTAATTTTATGTCTGCTAGATATTTTACAGACTATATGCTCCAGAGAATTCTTCTGTATAGAAGATTTCAATGAAATCAATATCCATGATTCTAAACCCAACGGAGAAAGCTGTTTAAGTCACAAAGAGCTGTAGTTTTAGCAAGTAGCTTTTAGCAAAATAAGCTAGAATCGTCGAATGAATATTGCAGAGAAACAAGTAAAAAAGTTGCAAGCGAACATAAAGTTAAAGAAATAAGATAGAAACTCCTTAAATTTTGTTCGAAAATTATATTATTTAATTATATTACCGTCGTTGAACAGCCGACCCAATTTTTTGGGTTTACGACTACTAATGTTCAACTCCGTAGCCTTGTAATTTTGAACCCAATCCAGAAGACAAGGGAGCTTCCGGATCAAGTATTGGGAGAAATTTTCCTTCGTGGAATACTTTTAGTTGGAACTAACCTGCATTTACTTTACATGGAGAGTAAAATCATGAAACCCTCCCACGGTTATTCTGACGGAAAGGAGACTCTAACCCATGATCCGTCTACCACTGAGGGCATTTTTTTGTGGTCTGTGCAAGCCGGAGGAGGAATTCGCATCGACCAGCCATTGCTCGGATTCGAACCTGGTTGACCTCATTGGAAGGTGAGCCCTCTATCCCCTGAGCCATCACGACCCATGGTACGGTTTGAAAGTAACTTCACTTCATTTAAAAGCCATTCGATTTCAGCTTTTATAAAAGAATAAAGTTTTTTTAAAAAAATAATTGATGTTATTTATCTTAAAGGAATTGCTCAAGAACTTCAGCTTCCTCATCTTCTTGGTGTTTCTGGTTCTGTCCAGCCTATTCATATACTTAAAAGTACCCGAAACGAAAAATAAAACAATCGAAGAAATACAGGAATATTTCCGTAGCGAAACTTCAGACACGGCTGGATTGCCTCACTAGGAGTCATGCCATGGAAAATATTGTATGACAAACTGTGACATTTTTTAAAATTTTAGCGAATATACAAATGACAGCTGAATTATAAATGTATACATGTATATATTGTGATTTCTTGTATGTAAACTTTATAATTTCATTCCCTGTTTTTTATTCTTTTGAACCTTATTGTGAAATAACAGTTGGACGTTAAATCTTGTTGCACATTCAACTATCGAACATAATTTTTGAAAAAAACTATTTTAAACATTGAAGAAGTTTTTTCTCAAAGACAAATTTCTCTACTCTCTTAAAATTTCGATTAAAACACTTAAATGGCGTCAAAATGCACTTTCATAAGTAAAATCAAGTCGATTTGCCGATAATAAATAAATAAGAACTAGAACTCATGAATTGATCAAAGATTAACTCAATTGGGTACAAATTACACAACTTTTTTTAAAAATCGAGTTTAAGTTGATATGCACACAACCGACCTCTTCGTTTCAAAAAGATAAAATCTAGTCAAAACGTTTTTCAATCTGACATGGCTGAGATTAGTGGCTCAATGGTCCTCAAAAAATGTTCCTCAAAAAATCTATTTCAACCATTCTGCGATTAGTGGCTCTTAAATCTAATCTCAGAACCCATTATTTTGAAATAGAAATAGGCAAAAAAAGTTTCTTCAACGAATGAAATATCTGAGGTCTCTATGACCAAGGAGTACTGTTCTTCCATTAAATGCTCCGAGACGTGGACACAGTAAAATTGATTTGCGCTCTAATCTTGGGTGCATCTTTCTGTTGTTCCTTTCTAATTTGGATCCCGATGGTAAGACACAGTTCCCAGTAGATCACCGAAGTGAAGCATCACTGACAGCTGTCAGAGCGAGTGGGTGACCACTAGCATCCTGCGAAGGGACAGAGGGTATGCAGCATAGATCCTCGTTTAACTTTTCTACCGCAAAGGGCCCGACTTAGCTCGCAGTTCGTCAGGTTGCCAAAGCGGAGGAACCATCCCCTCAGCTGAGGATTACGATTGTGATGTCATTTTTTTGGATCATCCTTAGAGTAGTTTCCCAGAATCCCTTGTGCGGCTGCAGCAAGACATCAATAAAGAACTACTTCTACTGTCTAAGTCGTGGCATGTTTCCGAATCATCTAAAGGAATGCTTCCCAGATCGTCGTCAATAATTCATCGTGCAGCTCTGATGCAAAAATTACTACAACCTCTCCTACTTTTAAAATGTGGGCTACCTATTTTTCAATTTGACAAGATTTTATAAGCTGTTCTTTGTATTGAGCTTACACGATTGCATTGGCCCAGATGATCTCACCATTTCGTCAAATGCTCTGTAGTTTGGAGTTAGCTAGTTCGAATCTCGCAATAACCCATGATGGAACTCTGTGATGTCGCTCTAAAACTTGTTCGAAAAGCTCTTCAAATAAGCAAGAGCTTATAAGTCGTTTTAGTAATGAGAATTTTAGATTGCATATGTATGTGTAATAATAAATAAAATCTAATACGAACTGTTTACTCACAGAAATGTTAATAAATACTTAAAGTGAATCACGCTAAGTAAGCATTTTTTAAAGTTAAAATCGATAACTAACTACGCCATGAAGAAAGTACTTGGTTGTGAAAAGAACCTATCTGAACCTGTATAACCTGAGTAAGATTTCAATATAATTAATACTAATTTGTGTATTTTAATGACTGATTAGACTTCAGTGAAACTTTCGTGAAAATATCTTATAATTAAATGACATCTATAGCAAAATTAAGAGATTATTTTGAGTTTTCGTCATCCCTTTATGTACAGTGTTTTTTTTTTTTTAAATTGCAATCAAAAACACGAATCAATACTATTCAGAAAAGTTTTCGGTAGCAGAAAAAAGACGATAATCGTACATTATTAATAATAGTTCTATTATTTATACTAGCTACCTCCCATTACTGACAGGTCTGACTATTTAAATTAGTAGAATTTCAAGTATCTCGAGATTTAAAATTGGATCATAATTGTGAAAATCGAGTAAATTTTAAATCATTTCATTATTGGCAGAAGGAAACAATTTAGACAATAAATGCACCATTATTTTTGAAACTGGAATAAGTCTATTCGAAAAGTGGAATAAGATCAAGGCTTTAAAGCAGTGTTTTCCTAAGTGTGGTACGCGTACCCCCATGGGTACGGGAACAGTTTAGCAGGGGTATGCGTTCTTACGCAAAATATCTTGCAACAAACTAAATTTTATTTTAAAACAAAGCTGTGAAAATTTACGATTACGTATTTTTCTATTGACTATTTTTGCGGAGTTAACAGTTAATAACTAAAATATGTTAATAAAAATAAACATATTTTTTTAAAAAAATGCATTCATTTTCTTATTAGTGGTATACAGCGTTACGAAAAATTTAGAAAGAGTACACAAAAGTCATAAGTTGAGGAAACACTGCTTTAAAGGGTTAGTGCTTGAAGGAATTTAAAAATATTGGTAAAGGTTAATCAATTTGGGTACATCAACTATAACTTGATGAAACATCAAACTGTAACAATGATTATTAATAACCTTAAAAAAATAATAAATAAAGATTTTTTTATAACTCCGAATGGACTTCCTTTCCTCTATCAAGTATAAAGGTTTAAATACGTATCAACCAATCTGTATCTATATGTATATATGTATATATATATATATGTATAAAGTTTCCACCGTTTTCTATCAAAAATGAAGTGAAAGAATGGTACATGATATTTCATTAAAAGTATTCTCCATCACTAGACACTATTTTCCCATCCTTCTGGGAGTATTCAGATACCACGTCGGAAAAACTCCTCAACTTTCAAGGATATCTACGAATCGATCCATTCCTTGGTTTCTTCATTTGATGTTAATCTGAAGGGGAAAGGTCTGGTGAATACGGCGGGTGGGGTTAGACTTCCCATTTAAGTGTTTCCAAATAGGTTTTGACCAAAAATAGGCAAAATCGACGTTCGTTGTCCCTTGGCTTCAGTTCGGTTGGAACCCAACTTCCTTGCTTTTGAATCCTTCCCAACGATAATAATTGTAATGAGAGAGCAAGTTGTTTTTACGTTTGGGACGAAGCTACTTTCAATTTCTTGTCTTCGTACAATTTCGGCCTTCCACTGCGTTCTTTGTCTTCTACGTCAAACTCACCGTTTTTAAACTTCTGAAACCACTCACGACCAGGGCTAAAGAGAATACAAGGGCTAGTTCACTCCGCTCTTAGAGCTGAAGCTACGATTTCCCTCCTCATGACGTCACTGTGTCTACAGATCTCGGAGATCCCAAGCAAAGGTATGATAACTTTGCATCTTTCTCTTGTAAAAATAAGTTAGACTTTTTCTGGTTATTAGCCTTCAAACTTTACGTAATTAACACATTATTTCCGTTCATAAACATAGTTCAAAAAAAA